CAATATGAGATCTTTTTGCTGCCCTAAGTGCTCTGATGTAATCCTTGGTGCAGGTTGTTAGGAGTGCTCGGTTCGACTCGGACTTATCAGACCTCCACAAGTGCTCTAGGCGTCTCCTCCTGCGTTTCTTCTCCCGGAGCTCCTCAGTGAACCAAGGAGGCCTCCAGGATCCGCTGACCTGGAGGGGCCGTAGTGGCGCAATCCGGTCGAGAGACTCCGATGCCGCCGAGTACCAGGCAGCAGCCAGAGTCTCCGCCGAACTGTGGGCGAGGGTATCAGGAATAACCCCAAGCTCCGTCTGGATTGGGTGTATGTCGTGCTTCTTTTTAACTTTGTTGTGTCTCATCGTTTTTTAAATTCTTTTTTAATATTTTCATTTCTATAAGCCGCCCGGAGTCCTTCGGGATTGGACGGCCTAGAAATTCAATAAATGATGATAAATGAATTTCTTGTTTAAGGAAACTCAAATCATAAGAATAAGCGTTGGTTTTTTTTTTTTTAATATGCTAGTTACTAAGCTTTTCAACATCAGTTTAAGGTATACAAAAGAGCACATTATCTGACAAGCCAAAGACAACAAAAGTACTTTCGGGCTAGACTGAGGCCACATTTTCCAAATACCGCTCCTAAGGGAGAGCCACCAGTATCTTTAATCCTTCATGATCTGAAAGTGTTTTGTCGTGAGCCCTCATTTCAGAACACACAGGATGTAGTCAGTGCACAAACCCACAGCTGTTAACTGACTCACTAAAGCATCTTTCCCCTGTTTTAACTTCCCCATTTTTTAACGATGTGTCAAGTCATTTGTCCCCGAAACGGAGGTGCAAGAGAAGAGGAGAGACATTTGGTGAGGGCGGTGGTTTGCACGTTGTCTCATACAGTCTTGAGTTGACGAAAACTTGTTCCATTATGGCTCTGTAAATACTTTAGCATGCTAAAATTCTGGGTCTCCACTGAGGCAAATGGAAATATTCATGCTAACAAGGGGGCAGCAAAAAACAACAACAACAACAACCTTCAGGGTACATTTGGTAAAGTGCAATAATGCACTTTAAGCAAATCCAGACACATCCAAGAATCACAGTGAGCTTTGCTTATTTTTCATAAAACCCATTCTGTACAGTCATGGGTTACAGAGGTGGTATTCAGCAGGTTTTGACCAGTTCTGGAGAACCAGTAGCAGAACTTTTGAGTGGTTTGGAGAACCGGTAAATACCACCTCTGACTGGCCCTATCTCCATCTATTCTCTGTCTTCAGAGTCCCAGCTGATTGGGAGGGAATGGAGATTTTGCAGTAACCTTCCTCTGGAGTGGGGAGGGAATGGAGATTTTACAGTATCCTTCCCCTGCCACGCCCACCGAGCTATGCCACGCCCACCAAGCCACGTCCATAGAACCGGTAGTAAAAAAACATTGAATCCCACCACTGATGGGCTGGTTCTCCTGGGACATACTGGTACTGATTTAATAAATAGAGAAATAAACAGTGCAACTGATAAAGATCTCACAAGATGGGCCTTCTCCGGGTGCCGTCGACTAGACAATGTCATCTGGCAGCCCCCCAGGGGAGGGCCTTCTCTGTAGCTGCCCCGGCCCTATGGAACGATCTACCCCCAGAGATCCGGACCCTCCCCACTCTCTCGGCCTTCCGTACGTCTATTAAGACCTGGCTATTCCGGCAGGCTTTTTTAAATTTTTTAGTATTTTTAAATTGTTTTTATGTAAGNAGCTCACTGATTGGCTGGAGTCCAGCCAATCAAATTAGTGAGCGGCAGGGTGGGCTGGGTTAAATTTTTTGGGAGCATAGAAAGAAAAGATGAGCCAGCCCAGCAGCTGATGGGCGGGAGCTGCCAGCGCCAAAAAAGCGTGCCTTTTTAAAAAGCGGGCGGGACGCGGGAATATGCATCAAAAGGCGGGGGTGTCCCGCCAAAAGCGGGACGTCTGGTCACCTTAATCTTTCTCCCATCCCTGCCCTTTTGGCCTCCCTGCCCTTCAATGGCCCTGCCATCTCACCTTCCACCAGCCCATTGCTCTGCAGGTGCATGGCCTTCACAAAGCATCCCCAGGCTAGACATGCCTCACAAGCAGTGAGAAGTAGAAGAAAGCACGGTCCACTCATTCAGCAACTATTTGAAGTTACAGGACTGAAGGAGAGGGACTTATGACAAATCTTCACAGTTGCAGCTGCTCTAGCATCCCCATGTGATTGTGATTCAGGCCCTTGGCAACCGGCTCACAGTTACAACATTGCAGCATCCTGCAATCACATTTGATTACCATTTGCTAAGTACCCTGTTGGCTTCTGAAAGCAAAATCAATGGGAAAGCTGGCGGGAGGTGACAAATGGCGAATGCATGACCACACAATGCTGGGACCACAAAGACTTCACCTAACAGTAGCAACTGGAGTTGCCAGAACTGCTGTCATAAGTTTATGTGATCACATGACATTGTGCCTTACAACTCCGTAACTTAGTAATGGAGTTCTTAGTCCCAATTACTGTTAGCTAGGACTGTCTGTAGCTATAAATATAAAAGCCAACACTCATCACAAAATCTCCAGGATGGTAAAGCCTACAAACTTGAAATTTGGCACGTATGTTCCTCTTGGCTTCTAGCTGCTCGCTAAGAAAGAATTTTTCAAAATGACTACCAGATCATCAGTATTCCTTACACAATATTATATTAGCATGTGTCAATGCTAAGGATTTAGATGTTCTACTTCCCCTCCCCCCTCGCGAGACCAGGAATGGGCGTGGCCAGCACGTGACTCATCCAGCCTGCAGGCTTTACATGTCAATTTATCAAGCCCAATCACATAGTTTCGTAGTGAACCATGGGTATCCAGCTAGTAAAGTCATATGCTGGCCAGGTTCCTTTGTTCACTCCTATCATGCCCTCTTCCATGGACTCATCATCACCATCATTTATTCATTGTTTATCCACTGTAGGATGAAGGCCTCTTCTGCTTGTTTCCAGCCTATATGGCCCTCAGCTTTCTTTTGCCAATTGGGCCTGCAATACTTTCTAATGTCGATCCGTCTTGTTTTAGGTCTCTTTTGGATGCTTTTTAACAAGTGGGATCAATTCTATGACTTGCCATCAATTCTTCTCAGTATGTGAGCAGCCCATTTCCATTTCCATTCTTTTACTCTCTTGATGATATTGTATACTTTCGTTTGTTCTCTAATCCATGTGCCTCTATCTTGCCTCGTGATGCTGAGCATGTATTAGTCCCTGGCTCTTTCTATAGATTGTGAGTTAGTGTCCATGTTTCACCAGCATATGTTAGATTGGGTAGCACACACAGATCCTTCCGTGGACTATGTCTTGTAATTGCTCTCTGGAAACCTGGTAGGGAAGGAGCAAACCAGATTTCCATGAAGAGGGAGTGAAGAAAATTGTGAGGTCCTGTCAGATGACAATGCTTTAAATATGGGATCTAGATGAAGTTAAGCCTATTAAATCAGCTTCGACAGGCAGATGAATATGAGAACATCTGGGCCAGTGGTGGGTTTCAAAAAAATTTGGAACCTACTCTTTGGGTGTGGCCTCCTTTGTGGGAGTGGCTTGCTGGCCATGTGACCTGGTGGGAGTGGCTTGCTGGCCATGTGTTCTCCCTCCCCCCCCTCTCTCTCCTTCCTTTTGTCTCTCTGTCCCTTTTTTTATTTTTTTCTTTCATCTCTCTCTCATTCTTCTTTCTTTCTTTCTTTCTTTCTTTCTTTCTTT